ACTATTGTTAAAATGCTACACATTTTAAGAAGATGTACCAGTTTATAGCTTCCTTTACCCTTTTCTGTGGTTATTCAATGACGTATTCCCATACCAAATGTTCTCTCCTTTATGATCCTTTAAACTTAAAAAAAATTACATATACCTTGAGGTGAATCAGGCCATTTCTATTTTGCTTTTCCCTTGAATAATACTTTGAGTAGAATGTTCTCAGGGTTCTAAAATTAAGTTAATCCATATGTAATTAGGTTCATTCTTGACTAGACAGTCTTGGTTAGCAGGAGATTGGCAGATTATTCCGAAAAACTATTTAGCAAACCATGAATAGCAATTAAAGGAGAAAAGACTAAATTTCTCTTTAAAATGGGTTGTTGTCACAAATTAATGTGGTGATATGATTTTCTGTTTTTAATTGCTATAGACAATGCATTTTGTAAATTAGAATTTTCTGAGGGTGAGATAGTTCCACAATTTTGTACCACTTTTTTATGCTCTAATACTTCAGTTTGTGTTCTGTCTTTGTAATCCCTTTTGATTTTTGATAGATAAAGCAATCTAAAGATTCATAAACACAGTGTTGTACCTCTTAAATCATGAGACAAGATGAGTATCTTGGAGAGCGTAAGTCCTCTCTATGAGATGGTATGACTTTATGTTAATTTATTATGCTTTCTTTATAATAGTGCTTTTATTCCCAGAATGATTATACTTAACATTGACACTTAAAGACATTCCTTTTTAAAATTCAAATAATGAGAACTGTGCTCCATATTCCAGGTCAATATCAGGATTCAGGAAGAACTTGAACCTGATGAATACATGGTTCTTCATTTCCCCTCTGCAGACGTCCTGAGCTTAATGCTGTCTATAGTCCCTTACTCATGACTTCATTTAAAAAAAAAATAGTTATTTATTTATTTGAAAAGCAGAGTTACAGAGAGAGAGAAGGAGAGATATACACAGAGACAGATAGACCCAGGCTGGGTCAAGCTGAAGCCAGGAGCCAGGAGCCAGGAACTTCTTCCAGGTCTCCCACATGGGTACAGGGGCCCAAGCACTTGGGCCATCCTTTACTGCTTCCCCAGGTGCATCAGCAGGGAGCTGGTTTAGAAATGGAGCAGCCAGGACTTGAACTGGCACCCATATGGGATGCTGGCACTGCAGGCTGTGGCTTTAACCCACTGCACCACAGTCTGGCCCCTTCATGTCTTCATTTTTGGCAGTCAGAAGGAATTGATGACAATGCCATCTTTAAGGAAATAACAGTAAGTCACAGTCCGCTGCCTGTGTTAACTGTAGATGCTCCCTGGCTTAAAATCACCTTTATCACTTAAAATATGTTTGCTTTTGTCTCTAAATTGGTATGAGCATACAGAGGAGACTATTCAATTAAATGTGAAAGATTAATCATTGTAGGCAATTTGTTTCACCATAGAAAATAATTAAATGTCAAAATGGAATATTTACTTCTTAAATCTTATGTATATGTGAAGAAAGTGTTGGAGAAGCATAAAAATCTGGTGGTATTGCATGCATTTGATTGAACTGACACTGAGGCTTACAGCTAACTAATATCAATGAATAGTGAAGTACCTAATCTGACTGTAGTTTTACAGGCTGTTTTTAGAAGATGGGAAATTTTGTCCATATCCAGAGTAGAATGTGGAGGGGGTAAAAATGGAAACAGCATGTCCCCACTCACCAGTGATCCAGGGAGGTGCTCTTGTTTTCTTAATGGAAAACTAACCAGGATTTCCCTAAGTACTGTCAAAGTAAAACAAGTGAATATAAAAGTGACAAATGTTACTTTTCTATGTCTCCCTTGCTCTTATTTTCTGTACTCTGCACTACTGATTGCAGCACCACCAGATCAGAATGAACAATTAACTCTCTAATTATTCCAGGCACACCAGCTCACAATGAAATCTTTATTCCGTGTTTACAGCAATCTTTGGCAGAGACTGTCTTGCTGTTTCTAAACTAAGAAGAACTGCCCTTTGGCTCCTCTCGGCATCAGCTGCCTGGGTTGCAGCCCTGGATGCTAATAATCAGACTTCTTTTTCTTCCAAAGTGGACATTTTTTTTAGGGTGAAAAGGCCTATTCTCATCAGCCCCCCATATATTCTGACTGATTTATGTTCTAGCCCTGCAGCTCTTCCTTCCGTATCTCTTTACATTTTTCCTCTGTCCATAGAACGCCACCAGGCAAAACCCCATTTTAAGTCCAAATTGTAAAAAATGCTTAACCAAACAGTGCTCACTACTATGAGGGAAAGAAAAAAAATACAGCTCCTGGTTTATGGGTAGAGGGAAGTCAAGGAAATCCCTCCTGCTCTTCTAAACTGCTAATTTTCTAGCTCAAAAGGCATTCAATAACTTCTCCACCAGGGAAAACATCCACTTTTCAGTGGTTCTCTTGATTACTTCCAACTATTTACTTAAATCCCCCAACAGCTGCAGGTCTTTGAGAAGCTTCAGAACTCAGGGAATATTTACAGATATACAAGGGTCTGAGATGGCAAGGGAAAACTTGCACCATGGCGGAGGGACAGAGCAGTCAACTCTACCCAAAGGGAAGAAGGAGGCAATACCTTTCCCAATGGTGGAGTGAAGAACACCTTGGTTAGCTCTCTTTGGACCATCTGATGGGGTCCCCGTCCAATGTGAGAGCTGAGGACAACCAGTGCTGAGTCTATTACCGTAACGAAGCTTGCTCAGCTGCCATCATCTTTCTCTCCTTTCCAGTCTCCAACCCCTAAGTGACGCATCCCCTAACACCCTTCCATCTCTCTCTCAGCTTCTAGCACTCACCACAGTCAGATCGCCCTTCGGGTGAGAACTGGGTCATAAAATTTGACAGAGGAGAAAGGTAGAAGGGGGCGTTTCAGTAGTGTAAACACTGATTAAATTCCCAGGCAACTCTCCCCAAACCAAAGATAATTCTTCTATTGAGTATGCACAAGAATGTCAAGAATGCTAAGTCATTTTTATGTTTGTACTTTCCTTTTTCCATTTTAATTTTACACTGCCACATGGCACACATGCTAAAAATGTATCTCCGTAACCTGCAGTGTAGCAAACTTTTCACAAAACATTAAAATCGTGAATTTTATAGACTGTCCTTTCCCAGGATGCTCAAAGCTTTTTTTTTTTTTTTTTGATACAAAATTGGATCATAGCAAGACAAGTGTCCTGTTAGCAACAGACAGGGCTACACGTGCATTGGCAAATACAGAGAATCAGAAGCACTGAGAAGAAAGGTCACACCAAAGTCGCTAAGCAGACTCTAAGAGCTCACTTCCAATTTATAACGCCCCACACTTGCTCTTCATTTCTCTCTCTTTTCTCCGGCTGGAAGGGATGTGGCCAGCACAGAGGTTTGACCTCATCTCCTGCACTCAAGCTCAACTCCGCCTCTCTGTCCTCCCATACCTTGCCCTGCTTTCTGCTTCCTCAGCTGGCCAAACCTGCACCCTGGAGCTCTGACCAGAGCCAAGCCAAGAGGAGGCAACCGCAGGTGCCCTTGCGGCTTCCGCCAGCGTTGGGAACCAAAGCCTGCTCCTGCCAGGGAGGACGCCCAGTGCCCAGTGGGACCTCAAAGGTCATTCTAAGTAAGAGGAGACTTTTCCGGGCCCTATAAAACTCGAAAGGGAAAAGCTGTGTCGGGGATGGGGTTCCAGATGGCCGTGACCTGCAGTCCGTGAGCCAGAGGAGGCCGAGGTAGGCTGGAGGATAGAAACACAACTTCCACCTCTCAGTGGGGCGCAGGCATGCCTCGGTGGCGACTTTGCCCTGACCCCGTCGCCGCTCTGAGCCGGTAACTTCCTTTGGGGGAAGATGAGAGGTGGCCAGGGGGCATTTTATTTGCAAGGAGGGGATTGCCGACTCATTTTCCAAGCGATTTATGACAACCACAAAACAAAATTCTTCCTGTCGTTTGTGTCAATACCAGCAGCATTCACAATGGTAATGACAACGCCACGGTAAACTCTGCATCGCCCAGCCAACCGACTGCCCAATTCCCTGGTGCCAGTCCTCTTACTCCTTGCTTGGTCTCGGCAGAGGGGGACAAAAGAGGCTCTGGAGCTTCCTCTGGGCTGCCCTCCAGGTTCCAGTCCCCACCAGGCCCGAGGCGGACAGCCAGGCAAGGCTCCGGCGTCAGCCCAAGTCCAGCACAGTCTCCTATTGCAAAGGGCAAGCTGGGACTCCCCGGTAGCGTCTCCCTTACAAACCTTAAACTTTCACCCGATCTAACCCCCTCGCCCCCGGCTCTTCCCCCACGGCAACCGCGACCAGCAAATCTCGAACAACCCGCGCGCAGTTCAGAGCCTTCCCTGGAGGGTCAGAGCCCGGAGACAGGAAATCCGGGGAGTTGGCGATGTCCGGCAGGTGGCAGGGACACGAGTCCCCACCACAGCCTCCTCCCACAGCCGAGCTCCTGCAGGGGCGAGGCTCGAGATGCGGACCCGATTCGGCCCGGTAGAGTCTGCACTTCCCCCCAGCCTGCATCTCTGGGCCCCTTCCCGGCGCGCGTCCCTGCGGGAGTGATGCGGCCACCCTCTCCCGTCGGCAGTCGGAGGGGGGCGCCGCTGCCTGCGGGGCCAGCGAGGGCGAAGCCGGGGCCAAGCGCTCCCGCCAGCCGCGCTTCTCGGTCCCGGGTCACCATCCTCAGCACGCAGCATCCTCCACCTGAGCATGTTCCGCTGCGCCCAGGGTCTCTGTTCCCAGAGAACAGCTTCCCCCCTCTCCCCCCCCCCCGCAGCCCCTCCGCGTCCCCTTCCCCCCAAAGTCCGAGGAAGTAGAACTCAGACCGGCCGGTGGGCTCTCCGAGGCTGAGAGGAGTCGAAGGGAAAGCGTGGCGCGGCACCGGACCGCGCGCAGCGCTCGGGGCGGCTGCGCTCCGGGGCCGCTTTCCCCGGGGCGCAGGCTCCGGTCCTGAACCCCGGCGCCGCGAGCCGGGGGAAAGACGCGCGGGGCCCTGCCGGAGCCCTCCGCTTTACCTGGCACAGCCGGTGACTCTCCGGAGACGTTCGATCAGGCTCCTCCGGGGCTGGCGTCCAGCTCACATCGCTGCCTCCCTCGTCGGGCGGCCGGTGCCCCGCTGGGTCCCTTCGTCCCCGCTCGAGGCTCTGCCCCGCCCCCCACCCCCCGACCCCCCTCTATCGAAAGTGTCACAGCTTTTTCTGCCTTCTTCGGACGTTTGGCAAAGTCTCCGCGCGGTCGCCTGGAGTTGGGGGCAATGCCAGGCGCGCCAAACCCGCCGATGCCCTGCCCGGCGCTGGCGCAGCCCCCAGCGCCCCGCCGCCGGCGAGAAGGGCCGCCCGGTGGCGGTCAGCGGCCCCGGAGCGCGGCGCGCCGAGCGCTTGCCCTCCCTCGCGCCTTGCCCAGCCCGAGTGGCTGCCGCCTGTCTGTGCCGCGAGTCCTCTTTCCCCTGCTCATGAATATTCTGACAGAGGCTAATGCCGTTGAAGTAAATTGAATTGGCCAATTGGTGCCAGGAATGTGCGCTCCTTCCTTCTGAGGAGCTGGCTGGAACCCCACCAGATGAAAGCAATTAACGTCCGTTTGGCACCCGGTGGCGTAGACCATCCAGGGGCAAGACGGGTTAATTCTTTAAGTGCAGTTTAGGTACGGCATTTAAATATTTAAATCCCGCTATTGACGGAGAGGGAGAGAGCTGTAAGGGGGTAGGTAGGTGTGGAGGGGGAAGCAACTGCGTGGAAACTTTGTGGAAGTCCAAGTGACTTATTTTGCATCGATTCCGGGTTCCGGAAGAGGCGATTGATGAGGAGTACAGGAAAATACAAATAGGAGCAGAAGGAAGAAGAGGATCAACAGCGTTTAACCTTGACCTTGAAGGTGCAGAGGACTAATCATTTTCAGAAAGAGGGGTAGTGGGACAGAAATCTCACAGACTTTAAGCATTTCTCCAAGGGCTCAGATTTCTTCTGTTGTGCTCATCACCAGATCAGAGAGTTTTAAGCCTTGGGCTTGGTGGGGATGGGGCAGAGGTGAGTCCAGGGTTGGAAGTTGCAGAGGAGGAAGCTGAGACCCTGCCCCCAGAGGAAGAGTCCCCCAGATCACACAGTTGCGGTGATGAGGCAGTTCAGGTTCTATGGTTCAAGCTCTTGTTTGGGGGATCAAATACATAAGGTCAACAGGAGGGGCCACCTCATTCTTGTCCTGCCACCCACCCTAAATGTCAGTTTATTGAATCCGAGAGCATGGCACTTGGATGTTTGGATGAGCCTTCTTGCTGTACCATAACATGGCAGAAGGTAATACGTGGTGAGACAAGTAATTGTGCTAGCTTGGGGCTCTCTCCCTCTTTATAAAGACACAGTGCTTTCATTATTGAATCCTAATTACCTCCCAACGGCCTCACCTCCAAGTACCATTAACTATGACTTTAGAGATTAAGTGTCCAACACATGAACTTTTGGGGATGCACCCAAACCATAGCAAATGATATGATGATTAATTTTTTGTGTCAACTTGACTGGTCCACGGGTGCCCAGATATTTGGTGGGAACACCATTCTGGGTATGTCTGTGAAAATGTTTTTAAGATGGGATTAACATTTACATCTGTAGACTGAGGGAGGCATAGTGCTTTCCATAATGTGGGAGAGCCTCATCTGAACAGTGAAGATTTGAATAGGACAGAAGGCCGGTTATCCCCCAGATACGAGGTCTCTAACCTGATGCCCTCCAAACTGGAACATAAGCTCTACAAATTTTGGACTTGCCAGTCTCTGTGGTTGCATGAGTTGACAGCTTTTCTATCCGCATGCCTTCTGTTGGTTCTGTTCCTAATACAGATGATCTACCCGGTAAACACTACTATTTGTGAATTTCTCATGGATGTCTAAAAATGCTCATCGTCCAACACATTGTTGGCCACATAGCACACAATAAATATGTGATTTTTTTAATTTAAAAATTTCCAGACCTCCTATTATGAATATGGCAGAAGTGATCTTTCCTGTTTTCTTAAGATGTGGGTGAGATATCATCAGACTTAAATAAAATTTTATCTTTGAAGTTTGGGCTACAAAATTGACTGTTATATTGAGTATTATATACTGGATTAAAGCAAAACTTACAGATATTATGTGAAGGAAGAAATTTTAGTATTACAATCTTAGAGATAAAAGTGGTCGGGTTAAACCTTTGTATTTACTAATTGTTGAGTATCAAGTAAACTCAACGCACATACCTATTCAAATATTTTCTGTTACAATTCACAGCTAAATCATTTTAAAAAGTTGAGAATCTGCCATATTTTATTCTCTGAAAATTTGGTTTAAAGTCCTTAGTTTAAAAAAATAACTATTTTATCCCTGTATTAAATACACTTTTCCCTGTCGTGATTCCTCCCTTACAGTGCTCTATTGGTTCCTCCTTTTTTTTTTAATAATTTTTTTTTTAAGTCAAAGTTACACAGAGAGAGGAGAGGCAGAGAGAAAGAGGTCTTCCATCCACTGGTTCACTCCCCAATTGGCTGCATTGGCCAGAGCTGCGTTGATCCAAAGCTAGGAGCCAGGAGCTTCTTCTGGGTCTCCCACGTGGGTGCAAAGGCCCAAGGACTTGGGTCATCTTCTACTGCTTTCCTAGGCCATAGCAGAGGGCTGGATCGGAAGTGGAGCAGCTGGGTCCCAAACTGGCACCCATATGGGCTGCCAGAGCTTCAGGCCAGGGCATTAACCTGCTGCACCACAGCGCTGACCCGGTTCCTCTTTTTATGGAGAGACTCCTCTTAGCGTTTTCAAGAAATCTTGGGAAAGTCTTCAGCTGTCATTGGCATGTTTGTATGAATATGTTAACATGACTTCAGAGCCCATGAAATGTGATCAGGTTGAGTGCTGTCCGAATTTCCTTAAGAGTAGGCAGTGGAGTTGGGGTGGAGGACTGCCTGCATCCAGGTGGGATGATGGCACTGTGTTGGGAGGATGGGGTTTGTCTTGGGCAGTGCCTTCTCTTTTGCAAAGTGGGAATAACAATTATTCATTGAGTGCTTTTCTGTTTGCAAGTTGCACTCCCATTATGCGTGTTCATTCTGCCCTCCCAGCAACCCTGTGGAGTTCAGAATTGTTATCTACATTTAATTGATGGGAAATCTCAATCTCACAGAAATTCAGTAACACTGAGTATGCCTCCTAGGAAAGGACAGGGCAGAGACTTCAACTAAGGGGCAAACTCACAGAGTGAGAGAAAGAGAGAGAGTCTTCCATCTGCTGGTTCACGACATTAATGGACTCAGAAGCCAGGAACTCCATCTAGGTCCCCCATGTGGGTGTCAGGGTACCAAGTGTTGGTCACCCCCCAAATGGCTGCTACAGCTGGAGCTACGCCGATCTGAAGCCAGGAACCAGGCACTTCCTCCCAGTCTCCCATGCGGGTGCAGGGGCCCAAGGACTTGGGCCATGCTCCACTGTCCTCCCATCCTCCCGGGCCACAGCAGAGAGCTGGACTGGAAGCTGAGCAGCCAGGACTCAAACCAGCCCTCCGATATGAGATCCTGGTGGCTCAAGCAGTGGCTTAACTCACCAGGACACAATGCCAATGCAGCCATTTTTTATGTCTCCTTCTGCCCACCAGGTCTCTGCTCCACACATGCTTCTCTTTTCTGGTATAAATGCAATTTCCTCCTTTGTGCTCCCCTAGAACTTCTAAGAACACAATATGTAGTTTCTGCTGATCACCCAAACTAATCTGGAGGCAGAGCTTTGTTGCAATCATTTTTGTATCTCTGAATTTTCCTGGGGGGAGGGTCACTCAGAAATCTCTCTGGGGCCTGCATTGTGGCATAGTGGGTTAAGCTGCTTCCTGCTATACCATCATTCCGTGTGGACACTGCTCCACTTCTGATCCAGCTCCCTGCTAATGCATCTGGGAAAGCAGCAGAAGATGAGCCGTCTCTGGGCCCCTGTACTGGTCTGGGACACCTGGATGAAGTTCCTGGCTCCTGGTTTCAGCTTGGCTCAGCCCCGGGTTGATGTGGCCATTTAGGAAGTGAACTAGTGAGCCAGCACCATGGCTCACTTGGTTAATCCTCCACCTGTGGTGCTGGCATCCCATATGGGTGCCGGGTTGTAGTCCCAGCTGCTCCTCTTCCAGTCCAGCTCTCTGCTGTGGCCCGGGGAAGGCAGTGGAGGATGGCCTAAGTGCTTGGGCCCCTGCACCTGCATGGGAGACCGGGAGGAAGTGCCTGGCTCCTGGCTTCGGATCGTAGTGGCCATTTTGGGGGGGTGAACCAACGGAAGAAGACCTTTCTCTCTGTCTCTCTCTCACTGTCTAGCTCTACCTGTTAAATAAATAATAATTTTTAAAAAAGGAAGTGAACTAGCAGATGGAAGATTCTTTGTCTCTCTCTCCCTGTCTCTCCTTCTCTCTCTGTAACTAGTAAATCTTTTGAAAAAATCTCACCAATGCCAATCTCCACACACTTTTGAAAATGTATCCCATTGACTTTACTAGGCTATTAGGATTGTACAAAATAGTTGGCAGGTGCTTTGGAAGTTCAAAAGCATCTTATAATGATATTATTATTATCCAAAAATAGATTCAGAAACAAATATAATAATTTTAGCTTTGACCTCTGGCTGATAGGTTCTATGGGTGAGAAAGCAGTTGATAATTTTTATGTCAGCTACTGTTATTTGGGACATGGATGGATAACACTTGCTCAAATTATAATCATCTAGTTAATAGTAGTATTAAACTGGCCCATTAAGCAAAAAGTATTAGTGTAGGAAAGGTGAGTGAACGTGTGTGTGTGTGTGTAATTTTCTGAAACTCGAGAGCATTTTCTGTGAATGAGCAGCTTTACCACTGGTATTGCTGTATTGCTCTAAGGGAGGGATCTGCCTTTCTCATGTGGGCTGATCTTTATTAAGAGCTCCCGAGGTTGCAGAGTTAATGCAGAGCTGTGCCTCCTGACCCTTGTTCCATGCTATTTTTGCAACCGCGCATTGGCTTGATTGGCAGCCACTGCCTGTATGGTGTGGTTTATGGTTTTAAGATTGAGATGAGATAAGCAGCTCAATACCTCATTATAATTAGTCTCCTGAGTCAGCTAATACCCTTCTAATGTGATTTGGTGATCTAGATTATTCAGTATTATCCATTCAAGATATATTTGGACATATAATGATAATTATTTAATAGAACTAATGACAATGACATACCAAGAACACATTTGTGGTTTCATAATCTGTCTTTTCTATAAATATTCATTGCTGAAGAGTTGTTTTGGATAAAAATTCACACACATAGAACATTCACAAAATTAAGAATTCCTATTAAACCATTAGTTCTTTATTTTCTATAGCAGTAATGTACAATTCAGATGATGTTTCTATATTGGTTTTCCCTAGACTGTTTGTTGTTTTGTGCTTTCTTACTTTTGGTGTTGTGTAAAGCGCACACTCATTTTGTTGTTTGAATTTGTGGGTTAATCAGCGAATTTCGGTCATTTTCAGAAGCCATTGGTTTTCCCACAGTTCATGTCTGTAAATTCTTTTCTGTGTGTTACTGCAGTTTTGAATGGAATAGAGA